CCCGAATGTATTATAAGGCAATAATTCCTATATAAAGCAAACTAAAATGCAGCAATATTAAGGTATAAAAACAAAGAGAGGAAAAATTCCATTGAACCTTGATTCTGGAAACTTTGATCCACCCAGCAGTCATGATGTTAGACTCATTAAAAAGAATATATTTCTAATGCTTGATACGATCGGTCTATAGATGCATCATGGAAACTTGGTTGCACAAAAACAAAATAAAAAGTAAACATTTACATGAAAAAATGGTGGATATGGAAGGTGGAGAAGAGAGGAGGTGATAGCTTTATCTTTCAAAATAGAGAATCAAGAGAGATGGTACCAAAAGCTGATGAAGTCAAAAAAAAAAAAAAAGATACTTAATACTTTAAATTACAAATATAAACACAAGAAGAACAAATATAATGATACAAATGGCAGACCCTGGGAATGTCCACGATTCTGGAAGGAAAAGGGTGGTATTATTGAGCTAAATCCTCAACTTTGTCTGGGCACGGTGGCTCACATGTATAATCCCAGCACTTTAGGAGGCTGAAGCCAGTGGATTACTTGAGCCCAGGAGCTTGAGACTAGCCTGAGCAACATGCCCATACCCCAGCTCTACAAAAATATATAAAAATTAGCAGGGGAAGGTGGCATGCACCTGTAGTCCCAGCTACTTGGGAGGCTGAGGCAGAAGGCTCATTTGAGCTTGAGAGGCGGAAGTTGCAGTGTGCCAAGATGGCACCACTGCACTCCAACTTGGGAGACAGAGCAAGACCCTGTGTCCACATAAATAAATATATAAATAAATCCTCAAGTATCATAGTAAAGAGTCTGTAAATATGACTTCTTGTTGACAAATGAAAAAAATAGAGGTGTAAGCATGTTGTCTACATGGCGGCAAGACCAGAAGAATAGAAAATGGAAACAGATTCTCTTAGAGAGGGGAATCGTGTCTTTCTCATTGGCTCAGTATAGTCTCCCTAGAGTCTAGAATGGTTCAGCACCTGGCACACTGCTTAACAAATGGTGAATGAAAAAAAAAAAAAAAAGTCATCCTTTTTCTTCTTTTACCCTATGTCCATAATCTGGCCATTTGCAGAAGTTGATATCCAGTGATCTAAGTCAACAGCATCAGTGCATCTAACACATTCTAGTCTCTCATCTTCTTATTACATAACTAATTTTATTTACTTTACAATTAAGGATATCCAAAGTATTATGTGAGACCATTGCAGTGGGAGACACTTAAAAGGAGATATAAAATGTATGTTGAATTGAAAAGTCTTCAAAGAGCAGCAGTGACAAATTTTTTGAGATTTTTAACAACTACATAAATTCAGGGATTTTTTTAATGGATGCCGCCTGAGACTTTATTTTCTGTTATTTTCTTCTAATAACTAACCAAACAAGCTCACATTGAAAAATGATTTATTACTAAATTTGAGCTAATTGCAGTGACTGATTTCAAATTTTTTCCACAGTGTATTTGAGTTAAAATTTCACTGTGAAGAGTACTACGATCACTCTCACTTATTCCAGAAATATAAATGGACACTTGAGTATTTGAATTATTGAGGAACTGGTTGACTGGGTAATTTTAAAAAATCACTGGGCATAAAAAACATATTTTGACTTATATTAGTTTAGAATATTTACACTTGAAAGTGTCTCATCTTGTCTGAAGTAAGGGTGTTTCTTTCATACACATTTTATTGCACTGAGTTTTGTGACCCATGGCATATTAATGAAGCTGAACAGGATGTGAAATATAAACTGGGAGCAAAAGATTAAATAAACCAAAATTGCGTTTTTTCTGCAGTCTTGTCCAAAATTGGGTAACCACTTCTGATGGGGTAGCTCCTATCCAAGAATGAGTCACAAAACCAGACTTGTTGAACCTGGTATGTGATGGCCCCAGGAACTGAGTCACAAAGCAACATTCTGCCTTTGTTTTTTCAGGGCAAGAAACTTGAATC